AGACATGGGTCAATACTTGACATACTCTAACTTCCCAACCACTTGGATTTTAGATCTAAGCACAAGCCATGATGCTCTTGGGGCCATACACTAGCTATGTATGCAAAAGGAAAGAGTTTTGGTAAACAAAGCACCTTAATGAAAAAACAGGTTGTTGTTTAGTGGGGTACAACTCAAGAACTTGGAAATGCGACAACGCTTGAGATACCATATCTTCCCACACACCTGGGTTTTGCATCTGAGCACAAGCCAGCATGCTCTTGAGCCCATACACTAACCATGCATGAAAATAGAAAGATGTTTGAGCATGCTCAATAGCAAGATAACCAAGTTGAGGTCTCGAAGGAAAATGCTCAAGTACTGGAAAAAGAAACACATACGATGCCATAACTTTTTGCACACTTAGTTTTTTTATCCGAGCACAAGCCACGACTATCTTGAGCCCATGCACTAACTTTTCATGCAAAACAAGGGCTTAGAAATTGCTCAGTGTCTGAAAAAATAAATGAAGAGTTGAGGTTTTGTTGGGCAATGCTCAAGTGTTTAGACATGGGTCAATACTTGACATACTCTAACTTCCCAACCACTTGGATTTTAGATCTAAGCACAAGCCATGATGCTCTTGGGGCCATACACTAGCTATGTATGCAAAAGGAAAGAGTTTTGGTAAACAAAGCACCTTAATGAAAAAACAGGTTGTTGTTTAGTGGGGTACAACTCAAGAACTTGGAAATGCGACAACGCTTGAGATACCATATCTTCCCACACACCTGGGTTTTGCATCTGAGCACAAGCCAGCATGCTCTTGAGCCCATACACTAACCATGCATGAAAATAGAAAGATGTTTGAGCATGCTCAATAGCAAGATAACCAAGTTGAGGTCTCGAAGGAAAATGCTCAAGTACTGGAAAAAGAAACACATACGATGCCATAACTTTTTGCACACTTAGTTTTTTTATCCGAGCACAAGCCACGACTATCTTGAGCCCATGCACTAACTTTTCATGCAAAACAAGGGCTTAGAAATTGCTCAGTGTCTGAAAAAAAAATGAAGAGTTGAGGTTTTGTTGGGCAATGCTCAAGTGTTTAGACATGGGTCAATACTTGACATACTCTAACTTCCCAACCACTTGGATTTTAGATCTAAGCACAAGCCATGATGCTCTTGGGGCCATACACTAGCTATGTATGCAAAAGGAAAGAGTTTTGGTAAACAAAGCACCTTAATGAAAAAACAGGTTGTTGTTTAGTGGGGTACAACTCAAGAACTTGGAAATGCGACAACGCTTGAGATACCATATCTTCCCACACACCTGGGTTTTGCATCTGAGCACAAGCCAGCATGCTCTTGAGCCCATACACTAACCATGCATGAAAATAGAAAGATGTTTGAGCATGCTCAATAGCAAGATAACCAAGTTGAGGTCTCGAAGGAAAATGCTCAAGTACTGGAAAAAGAAACACATACGATGCCATAACTTTTTGCACACTTAGTTTTTTTAACCGAGCACAAGCCACGACTATCTTGAGCCCATGCACTAACTTTTCATGCAAAATAAGGGCTTAGAAATTGCTCAGTGTCTGAAAAGAAAAATGAAGAGTTGAGGTTTTGTTGGGCAATGCTCAAGTGTTTAGACATGGGTCAATACTTGACATACTCTAACTTCCCAACCACTTGGATTTTAGATCTAAGCACAAGCCATGATGCTCTTGGGGCCATACACTAGCTATGTATGCAAAAGGAAAGAGTTTTGGTAAACAAAGCACCTTAATGAAAAAACAGGTTGTTGTTTAGTGGGGTACAACTCAAGAACTTGGAAATGCGACAACACTTGAGATACCATATCTTCCCACACACCTGGGTTTTGCATCTGAGCACAAGCCAGCATGCTCTTGAGCCCATACACTAACCATGCATGAAAATAGAAAGATGTTTGAGCATGCTCAATAGCAAGATAACCAAGTTGAGGTCTCGAAGGAAAATGCTCAAGTACTGGAAAAAGAAACACATACGATGCCATAACTTTTTGCACACTTAGTTTTTTTAACCGAGCACAAGCCACGACTATCTTGAGCCCATGCACTAACTTTTCATGCAAAACAAGGGCTTAGAAATTGCTCAGTGTCTGAAAAGAAAAATGAAGAGTTGAGGTTTTGTTGGGCAATGCTCAAGTGTTTAGACATGGGTCAATACTTGACATACTCTAACTTCCCAACCACTTGGATTTAGATCTAAGCACAAGCCATGATGCTCTTGGGGCCATACACTAGCTATGTATGCAAAAGGAAAGAGTTTTGGTAAACAAAGCACCTTAATGAAAAAACAGGTTGTTGTTTAGTGGGGTACAACTCAAGAACTTGGAAATGCGACAACGCTTGAGATACCATATCTTCCCACACACCTGGGTTTTGCATCTGAGCACAAGCCAGCATGCTCTTGAGCCCATACACTAACCATGCATGAAAATAGAAAGATGTTTGAGCATGCTCAATAGCAAGATAACCAAGTTGAGGTCTCGAAGGAAAATGCTCAAGTACTGGAAAAAGAAACACATACGATGCCATAACTTTTTGCACACTTAGTTTTTTTAACCGAGCACAAGCCACGACTATCTTGAGCCCATGCACTAACTTTTCATGCAAAACAAGGGCTTAGAAATTGCTCAGTGTCTGAAAAGAAAAATGAAGAGTTGAGGTTTTGTTGGGCAATGCTCAAGTGTTTAGACATGGGTCAATACTTGACATACTCTAACTTCCCAACCACTTGGATTTTAGATCTAAGCACAAGCCATGATGCTCTTGGGGCCATACACTAGCTATGTATGCAAAAGGAAAGAGTTTTGGTAAACAAAGCACCTTAATGAAAAAACAGGTTGTTGTTTAGTGGGGTACAACTCAAGAACTTGGAAATGCGACAACGCTTGAGATACCATATCTTCCCACACACCTGGGTTTTGCATCTGAGCACAAGCCAGCATGCTCTTGAGCCCATACACTAACCATGCATGAAAATAGAAAGATGTTTGAGCATGCTCAATAGCAAGATAACCAAGTTGAGGTCTCGAAGGAAAATGCTCAAGTACTGGAAAAAGAAACACATACGATGCCATAACTTTTTGCACACTTAGTTTTTTTAACCGAGCACAAGCCACGACTATCTTGAGCCCATGCACTAACTTTTCATGCAAAACAAGGGCTTAGAAATTGCTCAGTGTCTGAAAAAATAAATGAAGAGTTGAGGTTTTGTTGGGCAATGCTCAAGTGTTTAGACATGGGTCAATACTTGACATACTCTAACTTCCCAACCACTTGGATTTTAGATCTAAGCACAAGCCATGATGCTCTTGGGGCCATACACTAGCTATGTATGCAAAAGGAAAGAGTTTTGGTAAACAAAGCACCTTAATGAAAAAACAGGTTGTTGTTTAGTGGGGTACAACTCAAGAACTTGGAAATGCGACAACGCTTGAGATACCATATCTTCCCACACACCTGGGTTTTGCATCTGAGCACAAGCCAGCATGCTCTTGAGCCCATACACTAACCATGCATGAAAAAGAAAGATGTTTGAGCATGCTCAATAGCAAGATAACCAAGTTGAGGTCTCGAAGGAAAATGCTCAAGTACTGGAAAAAGAAACACATACGATGCCATAACTTTTTGCACACTTAGTTTTTTTAACCGAGCACAAGCCACGACTATCTTGAGCCCATGCACTAACTTTTCATGCAAAACAAGGGCTTAGAAATTGCTCAGTGTCTGAAAAGAAAAATGAAGAGTTGAGGTTTTGTTGGGCAATGCTCAAGTGTTTAGACATGGGTCAATACTTGACATACTCTAACTTCCCAACCACTTGGATTTTAGATCTAAGCACAAGCCATGATGCTCTTGGGCCATACACTAGCTATGTATGCAAAGGAAAGAGTTTTGGTAAACAAAGCACCTTAATGAAAAAACAGGTTGTTGTTTAGTGGGGTACAACTCAAGAACTTGGAAATGCGACAACACTTGAGATACCATATCTTCCCACACACCTGGTTTTGCATCTGAGCACAAGCCAGCATGCTCTTGAGCCCATACACTAACCATGCATGAAAATAGAAAGATGTTTGAGCATGCTCAATAGCAAGATAACCAAGTTGAGGTCTCGAAGGAAAATGCTCAAGTACTGGAAAAAGAAACACATACGATGCCATAACTTTTTGCACACTTAGTTTTTTTCACCGAGCACAAGCCACGACTATCTTGAGCCCATGCACTAACTTTTCATGCAAAACAAGGGCTTAGAAATTGCTCAGTGTCTGAAAAAAAATGAAGAGTTGAGGTTTTGTTGGGCAATGCTCAAGTGTTTAGACATGGGTCAATACTTGACATACTCTAACTTCCCAACCACTTGGATTTTAGATCTAAGCACAAGCCATGATGCTCTTGGGGCCATACACTAGCTATGTATGCAAAAGGAAAGAGTTTTGGTAAACAAAGCACCTAAATGAAAAAACAGGTTGTTGTTTAGTGGGGTACCACTCAAGAACTTGGACATGCGACAACGCTTGAGAAACCATAACTTCCCACACACCTGGGTTTTGCATCTGAGCACAAGCCAGCATGCTCTTGAGCCCATACACTAACCATGCATGAAAATAGAAAGATGTTTGAGCATGCTCAATAGCAAGATAACCAAGTTGAGGTCTCGAAGGAAAATGCTCAAGTACTGGAAAAGGAAACACATACGATGCCATAACTATTTGCACACTTAGTTTTTTTATCCGAGCACAAGCCACCACTATCTTGAGCCCATGCACTAATTTTTCATGCAAAACAAGGGCTTAGAAATTGCTCAATGTCTGAAAAAAAAAATGAAGAGTTGAGGTTTTGTTGGGCAATGCTCAAGTGTTTAGACATGGGTCAATACGTGACATACTCTAACTTCCCAACCACTTGGATTATAGGTATAAGCACAAGCCATGATGCACTTAAGGCCATACACTAGCTTTGTATCCAAAAGGAAAGAGTTTTGTTAAACAAAGCACCTAAATGAAAAAACAGGTTGTTGTTTAGTGGGGTACCACTCAAGAACTTGGACATGCGACAACACTTGAGATTCCATATCTTCCCACACACCTGGTTTTGCATCTGAGCACAAGCCAGCATGCTCTTGAGCCCATACACTAACTGTTAGGATTAAGGACGGAGTCTAGGTGAACTTAGGAGCTAGAATTACTCAAAATATAAATCCGAAATTCTGGACAGAAAAGTCGTCTTCACAAGAAACGACGTCGACGAAAAACTAGCCGTTGGAATATCGCGAAACTTGGATATGTTGGAGCTCTTAATCTCAGCTACCGTTCCCAATTTGAATCATGTTAATTGATGAAGTATTCGCGACGCTATGGCTTTCGACGCACTAGGGGGTAAGCTGTAGGAGGAGAACTTAACTCAATCTCAAGAGTTCAATCAAAGTTCAAGAATCTCACAAGGAATTAGAAGGAGCAAGAGAAAGGTTGGGATAGGAAGAGAGGGATGAGAGGGAAGGTCCCAAGAGAGTCCCCAACCAAGGAAACCCCATAAGCACAAAGATTCCCTCCCTATAGGAACCTCAACTTTGACCTTTGTCCCTTCCCAACCAATCCATCCAAGTTGGCCACCCTTGCCAACCTAGCTTGGTTGTTCCCAACCTATTTGCAGCTGTTACAGTAGAGTGACAAGTTTCCCCAACCCCAAAGGTCCCAACTCCATATAGAGTCACCCCACAACTTCACTTAGTAACCGCCGCAATTGTAACGCAAGCTCATGAACTTTGAATCTTCATAGCTTTCGCATTCTTGCTCCGATTGAAGGGATTCTCGTTGCGTCGGAAAGATCTTCTCAAGATCTATCATCACAAATACCTGCTCAAACAAAAATAACACAGAACACATTCCCAAACTCCAGAACACACCACACAAATGCTTGCACATTCAAACCACACATGCAAGTTGAAAACATGGGATGGGAGGCAGACAGAATGTGATAGCATATGATGACATCACACAACAATCTCCCCCTCTGGCTGCCAACCATCATCGACCATACCACATCTCAAGCATGCATACTCAATGCACACTCATCCCAGCAAGCTTCATGCCCTTCCAATGATCCGCCTCCGCCAGACGCTTAGTGAAAATATCTGCTGCCTGCTGATGGGTCTTCACTATCTCCAGCCGCACCTCCTTATCAAGGATTCTCCTCACCCAATGCCACTTAGGCCTTATGTGTTTTGTCAGCCCATGCAGACAAGCATTCTTGGCCAGCTTCACTGCAGACTCATTGTCACAGAACACAACTGTCGGCTCCTCCTGACCAACTCCCAACTCCTCTAACAAACGCCTCAGCCATACCACTTCCTTGGCCCCATGGTGTAAGGCCATGTACTCAGTCTCACATGAAGACAATCCCACCTCATTTTGCTTCTTGCTGCGCCAGCTCACAGCACCACCTCCCAGCAAGCACACATAACCCCCAATGCTGGTGCCATCCGCTTTCACTGAGTTGAAGCTAGCGTCAGTATAGCAACTCAAGAGCATCTCACCACTCTTCACATCTGCAGCACCTCTCTGCAACCGCTGCCTCACTCCACTGTACTCCAATCCCACTGATGCCGTAGCACTCACATAGCGGACCAACCTCTTGGCCGCTTCCAGCTGCTCATGACTAGGACGTGAAACCACGCTAGCCAGTCGTGATGTAGCAAATGCAATGTCAGGCCGTGTATGATTTGCAGCATAATTCAGCGACCCAACCATCGAATGAAACAGCTTCCTGTCACTATCACCCACTACCTCCTCATCAGCACATGGCTCCACAGTAAACCCTGAAGGTAGTGGTGTTGCTGGCTTTCCCCCATCTTGCAGCCCATACTTCTCAGCCAGCCCCTCACAGTACTTCCTCTGGTGCAACCTCAGCACACCCTTTTCCACATCTCTCTCCACATGCATCCCCAAGTAGTACTTCGCCTCACCCATCTTGGAGCACTTGAACTGCATCTCCAGCATCTGCTCTGCGCTGTCCAGCAAAGCAGTGGATGCAGAAAAGAGAAGGATATCATCCACATACACCAAGAGCATGAGGATTTCATCCTTCTCCTGCAGCAGGAACAGGCTGGGGTCACACTCACTCTTCTTGAAACCCCCAGCCAACAGCGCCTCCTCCAACTTGTGATACCATGCACGAGGCGCCTGCTTAAGGCCATAGATGGCCTTCTTCAGCCTGCAGACCCTGCCGCTCCCATCATCCAGCCCCTCTGGCTGCTTCATGTACACCTCCTCCAGAATGATCCCATTCAGAAAGGCAGTCACAATGTCCATCTGCCGTATCTTCCATCCCAGGAGTGCAGCCATCGCCAATAGCACCCTCAATGTTGTTCCTTTCCCCACAGGAGCAAACACCTCATCATAGTCCTTCCCCTTTGTCTGCTGAAACCCCCTTGCCACAAGCCTAGACTTGTAGCGGGTCAGCTCCCCTTCAGGTCCATACTTGTGCCTGTAGATCATCTTGGAAGTGATTGCCTTCTTCCCAGGAGGCAAGTCACACAGGTCCCATGTCTCGTTTTCAATCAGGGACCCGAACTCCTCATCCTCACTCGCCTTCCACTTCTCCCCATTTGGTCCATTCAAGGCCTCTTCTCGAGTCTTGGGCTCAGGGATTGGTGCCCAGTAGCAGTGAGCGATCTCATCTTCCTCAATCTGCTCAACCACACTCCCAGCCTGCACCACATTTGGCTTGCCTCTTCCCCCATAGGTCAGCCTCACAGGAGGGCGCACATCCCTCCTAGGTCGCTCAGGCGGGTGTGGAACTCGAGATGGAGACTCATGCTGCTGCTGCTGCTGCTGCTCTACTTCAGCTGCTCCCCCTTCCTCAGTCACCCCAGACATCTCCTCCTCTGACACTGCAACCTCCACCTGTCTTGAAGGCTGCTGCACCTCATCTGCCTCCACAATGAGCGGTGTAGATGGAAGCTTCTGTTGCTGCTGCTTCCATTCCTTGTAGTACAGGGACTCAAGAAACTTCACATCCCTTGACACTGTCAACTTCTGGGTGGTCAAGTCCCATAGCAGCCACCCCTTGTGATCCTTTGCAATCCCCAAGTGCACACCCCATCTTCCAGAAGCCTCCAACTTCCCCCTTTTCTCCTTAGGCACATGAAACACCACCATGCACCCAAATGCCCTCAGCATGTTCACAGCTGGAGCACTCCCATACCACTTGACATATGGGATCCACTCCTTATCTCCAACTGTAGCCAGCACCCTGTTCTTCACAAGGGCGACCTGCCTCAGTGCAGACACCCAAAACGGATCAGGCAGCCCTGCACGCCCAAGGAGAGTGCGTGCCCCCTCCTGCAGGGTCCTGTTGAACCTCTCAGCCACGCCATTCTGCTGTGGGTTGTAGGGCACTGTCAGTTGATGCTGGATCCCCTTCCTCTTCAACTCCCCCTCAAAATCAGCTCCAATGAACTCCCCACCATTGTCACTGCGGATCACCTTCACCTTGTATCCGCATTCCCTCTGAGCTCTAGGCATCCACTCCTTAAGGACAGCCGCTGCCACCTCCCCCTTGCTCTTCAAAGGGTAAACCCACACTGCCCGAGTGTGGTCATCCACAATTGTCAAGAAATAGCGGCTGCCTGAGAGGGAAGGGGCTCTTGTGGGCCCCACCACATCCATGTGCACAAGTGCAAGTGGGGTCTTGGCTGGTCCTGTTGCCTGTTGAAGGGGAACTTGGAGAACTTGGTCTCCAAGCATGTAGGGCAGCTCCCAATCTCCTTCACTTCCCCTTTCACCTCCAAGCCCTTCAGGCTCCCATTCTTCACCAACTTCTGCAGCATAGGGAAGTTCACATGACACAACCTCTCATGCCATGTCTCCCAATCGGCCTCTCCACTCCTTGATGAAGCCTTAGCCCATGCCGCACTCGCATCCACACCAGCAAGCACCTCACTATGTGTCTGCTGCTGGTGCACTTTCTTGACTGCTTCCAGGACCCCATCAGTTGGTGCAGTTGCATCTCCTCCTGCTGTTGCCTTTGCCGCTGCTGCCGTTGCTGTTGTTGGAGTCTTCCCATTCCAAGGGATGATGGGCAGCTGCCATAGGTCCTTGATGCAGCTGGTCTCCTCTTCCAGACTCCACAGCACCTTCTTCCCAAGCTTAGCACGGCAGCTGGTTGGTCCAAAGGTCACTTCGGCCTTGCTCTTCTGCAGTCGCCGCACAGAGAGAAGGTTAGCAGACAAACCTTCAACTAGCAGAACATTCCCAAGCCCCACAAGCTCCCCATTAGCTCCCTTAACCTTGGCATTCCCAACACCAATCACAGGGAGCAAAGCACCTGACGCTGCTGCCACATACTTGATCTTCCCAGGGGGTTTTACCTCATCAAGCAAATCTGCCCGTGGGGTCATGTGACTGGTGCAACCTGAATCAATCACCCAGTGCGTGAGAGGGTGCATCACAACCTTTCCCACAGATCCCACATCACCCTCATGCCCATGCACATCCTCAACCATGAGAAACATCCCAGGATAGGCATTACCTTGTGCACCTTCACCTTGTGCACCTGAGCCTTGCACAGCACCACCTTGTGCGCGTTCACCACTGGGCGGCTTCATGCCTGGAGGTGCCCATCCCTCCGGCCTGCTGAAGCACTTGAACCAAGGATGCCCTATCTTCTTGCAGTACCAGCAGGTGCCCTCCATTCTGGTACTCCCCCTGCCACTGGAGCTCCCATGCCCCTCATTATAGTCACCTCGGCCTCTACCTCTGCCAAAGCTTCTCCCACGGCCTCGGCCTCTCCAACCCCCTCTTCCTCTGCCGCGCCCTGCAGCTCCATACCCCTCAGCAGTCTTAGTGGCAGCACCGCCTCCCACATGGCGTCTGCGGAAGTCCTCCTGCAGAATCTGCTGCCTTAGCCACTCAGGTGTCCATTGATCTTGCTGAGAGTTGAGGGTGGGGATGAGGTTGTCCCAAGAGTTGTCCAACACCGAGATGATCTTGGTGCACTGCTGCAGCTGAGATACACTACTGCCCGCTGCTGCCATCCTTGCATAGGTGTCCTTGATCTTGTCAAGGACCGGCTTCACATCGTCCCCTGGTCGCATGGAGATGGCAGCAAGTTCCTTCTCGAGCACGATCACCATCGGGAGAGTGTTGGGCTGAATCACATCGCGTAGTAGTTTCCACGCCCTTGGACCCGAATCATCCGCTTCCACAAGATCCTTGATGTGCTCGAACATCTCCTTGTTGACCGATTGAAGAATGAGGTCGAAAAGCACCGCGCTTTTCTCAATCCACCGTTCGCGTGCTTCGCCTTCTTCCGGCATCTTCTCTTCCCCAACAGCAATCTTCAGTAGCTTGTAGCGTTTGAAGGCACTCCTCATCCGTCCGCTCCATTCCTCATAGTTGGAGCCATCCAAAGCTTCAACTTTTGATGGCGGCGGCTCACTTGTCTTCTCAGCTACAGCTCCTCTTCCATTAGCATCTCCTCCTCTCTCATTCATCTTCTCCTTGAGAAATGACGAATTTCAGCTCCCCTTTGCTGTCCACACTCAGCTCCCTCGATATTTTCACAAGTGTCGGCGTCCACGAAATTTCGGCAGAGTTTCCCTTAGCGGAAGACACATCCAACATTTAGAACACCACTTAGGCACACCCACAGGCCATGGTGGGTCTAGAAGGGTCTTCACACTTCTGTAGACTCCTCTCAATATCCTTAATATGCTCTGATACCACTTGTTAGGATTAAGGACGGAGTCTAGGTGAACTTAGGAGCTAGAATTACTCAAAATATAAATCCGAAATTCTGGACAGAAAAGTCGTCTTCACAAGAAACGACGTCGACGAAAAACTAGCCGTTGGAATATCGCGAAACTTGGATATGTTGGAGCTCTTAATCTCAGCTACCGTTCCCAATTTGAATCATGTTAATTGATGAAGTATTCGCGACGCTATGGCTTTCGACGCACTAGGGGGTAAGCTGTAGGAGGAGAACTTAACTCAATCTCAAGAGTTCAATCAAAGTTCAAGAATCTCACAAGGAATTAGAAGGAGCAAGAGAAAGGTTGGGATAGGAAGAGAGGGATGAGAGGGAAGGTCCCAAGAGAGTCCCCAACCAAGGAAACCCCATAAGCACAAAGATTCCCTCCCTATAGGAACCTCAACTTTGACCTTTGTCCCTTCCCAACCAATCCATCCAAGTTGGCCACCCTTGCCAACCTAGCTTGGTTGTTCCCAACCTATTTGCAGCTGTTACAGTAGAGTGACAAGTTTCCCCAACCCCAAAGGTCCCAACTCCATATAGAGTCACCCCACAACTTCACTTAGTAACCGCCGCAATTGTAACGCAAGCTCATGAACTTTGAATCTTCATAGCTTTCGCATTCTTGCTCCGATTGAAGGGATTCTCGTTGCGTCGGAAAGATCTTCTCAAGATCTATCATCACAAATACCTGCTCAAACAAAAATAACACAGAACACATTCCCAAACTCCAGAACACACCACACAAATGCTTGCACATTCAAACCACACATGCAAGTTGAAAACATGGGATGGGAGGCAGACAGAATGTGATAGCATATGATGACATCACACAACACTAACCATGCATGAAAATAGAAAGATGTTTGAGCATGCTCAATAGCAAGATAACCAAGTTGAGGTCTCGAAGGAAAATGCTCAAGTGCTGGAAAAAGAAACACATACGATGCCATAACTTTTTGCACACTTAGTTTTTTTCACCGAGCACAAGCCACGACTATCTTGAGCCCATGCACTAACTTTTCATGCAAAACAAGGGCTTAGAAATTGCTCAGTGTCTGAAAAGAAAAGTGAAGAGTTGAGGTTTTGTTGGGCAATGCTCAAGTGTTTAGACATGGGTCAATACTTCACATACTCTAACTTCCCAACCACTTGGATTTTAGATCTAAGCACAAGCCATGATGCTCTTGGGGCCATACACTAGCTATGTATGCAAAAGGAATGAGTTTTGGTAAACCAAGCACCTAAATGAAAAAACAGGTTGTTGTTTAGTGGGGTACCACTCAAGAACTTGGAAATGCGACAACGCTTGAGATACCATATCTTCCCACACACCTGGGTTTTGCATCTGAGCACAAGCCAGCATGCTCTTGAGCCCATACACTAACCATGCATGAAAACAGAAAGATGTTTAAGCATGCTCAATAGCAAGATAACCAAGTTGAGGTCTCGAAGGAAAATGCTCAAGTACTGGAAAAAGAAACACATACGATGCCATAACTTTTTGCACACTTAGTTTTTTTAACCGAGCACAAGCCACGACTATCTTGAGCCCATGCACTAAATTTTCATGCAAAACAAGGGCTTAGAAATTGCTCAGTGTCTGAAAAGAAAAAATGAAGAGTTGAGGTTTTGTTGGGCAATGCTCAAGTGTTTAGACATGGGTCAATACTTGACATACTCTAACTTCCCAACCACTTGGATTTTAGATCTAGGCACAAGCCATGATTCTCTTGGGGCCATACACTAGCTATGTATGTGAAAGGAAAGAGTTTTGGTAAACAAAGCACCTTAATGAAAAAACAGGTTGTTGTTTAGTGGGGTACCACTCAAGAACTTGGAAATGCGACAACGCTTGAGATACCATAACTTCCCACACACCTGGGTTTTGCATCTGAGCACAAGCCAGCATGCTCTTGAGCCCATACACTAACCATGCATGAAAATAGAAAGATGTTTGAGCATGCTCAATAGCAAGATAACCAAGTTGAGGTCTCGAAGGAAAATGCTCAAGTACTGGAAAAAGAAACACATACGATGCCATAACTTTTTGCACACTTAGTTTTTTTATCCGAGCACAAGCCACGACTATCTTGAGCCCATGCACTAACTTTTCATGCAAAACAAGGGCTTAGAAATTGCTTAGTGTCTGAAAAAAAAATGAAGAGTTGAGGTTTTGTTGGGCAATGCTCAAGTGTTTAGACATGGGTCAATACTTGACATACTCTAACTTCCCAACCACTTGGATTTTAGATCTAAGCACAAGCCATGATGCTCTTGGGGCCATACACTAGCTATGTATGCAAAGGAAAGAGTTTTGGTAAACAAAGCACCTTAATGAAAAAACAGGTTGTTGTTTAGTGGGGTACCACTCAAGAACTTGGAAATGCGACAACGCTTGAGATACCATAACTTCCCACACACCTGGGTTTTGCATCTGAGCACAAGCCAGCATGCTCTTGAGCCCATACACTAACCATGCATGAAAATAGAAAGATGTTTGAGCATGCTCAATAGCAAGATAACCAAGTTGAGGTCTCGAAGGAAAATGCTCAAGTACTGGAAAAAGGAAACACATACGATGCCATAACTTTTTGCACACTTAGTTTTTTTATCCGAGCACAAGCCACGACTATCTTGAGCCCATGCACTAATTTTCATGCAAAACAAGGGCTTAGAAATTGCTCAGTGTCTGAAAAAAAAAATGAAGAGTTGAGGTTTTGTTGGGCAATGCTCAAGTGTTTAGACATGGGCCAATACTTGACATACTCTAACTTCCCAACCACTTGGATTTTAGATCTAAGCACAAGCCATGATGCTCTTGGGGCCATACACTAGCTATGTATGCAAAAGGAAAGAGTTTTGGTAAACAAAGCACCTTAATGAAAAAACAGGTTGTTGTTTAGTGGGGTACCACTCAAGAACTTGGAAATGCGACAACGCTTGAGATACCATAACTTCCCACACACCTGGGTTTTGCATCTGAGCACAAGCCAGCATGCTCTTGAGCCCATACACTAACCATGCATGAAAATAGAAAGATGTTTGAGCATGCTCAATAGCAAGATAACCAAGTTGAGGTCTCGAAGGAAAATGCTCAAGTACTGGAAAAAGAAACACATACGATGCCATAACTTTTTGCACACTTAGTTTTTTTATCCGAGCACAAGCCACGACTATCTTGAGCCCATGCACTAAATTTTCATGCAAAACAAGGGCTTAGAAATTGCTCAGTGTCTGAAAAAAAAAATGAAGAGTTGAGGTTTTGTTGGGCAATGCTCAAGTGTTTAGACATGGGTCAATACTTGACATACTCTAACTTCCCAACCACTTGGATTTTAGATCTAAGCACAAGCCATGATGCTCTTGGGGCCATACACTAGCTATGTATGTGAAAGGAAAGAGTTTTGGTAAACAAAGCACCTTAATGAAAAAACAGGTTGTTGTTTAGTGGGGTACCACTCAAGAACTTGGAAATGCGACAACGCTTGAGATACCATAACTTCCCACACACCTGGGTTTTGCATCTGAGCACAAGCCAGCATGCTCTTGAGCCCATACACTAACCATGCATGAAAATAGAAAGATGTTTGAGCATGCTCAATAGCAAGATAACCAAGTTGAGGTCTCGAAGGAAAATGCTCAAGTACTGGAAAAAGAAACACATACGATGCCATAACTTTTTGCACACTTAGTTTTTTTATCCGAGCACAAGCCACGACTATCTTGAGCCCATGCACTAAATTTTCATGCAAAACAAGGGCTTAGAAATTGCTCAGTGTCTGAAAAAAAAAATGAAGAGTTGAGGTTTTGTTGGGCAATGCTCAAGTGTTTAGACATGGGTCAATACTTGACATACTCTAACTTCCCAACCACTTGGATTTTAGATCTAAGCACAAGCCATGATGCTCTTGGGGCCATACACTAGCTATGTATGCAAAAGGAAAGAGTTTTGGTAAACAAAGCACCTTAATGAAAAAACAGGTTGTTGTTTAGTGGGGTACCACTCAAGAACTTGGAATGCGACAACGCTTGAGATACCATAACTTCCCACACACCTGGGTTTTGCATCTGAGCACAAGCCAGCATGCTCTTGAGCCCATACACTAACCATGCATGAAAATAGAAAGATGTTTGAGCATGCTCAATAGCAAGATAACCAAGTTGAGGTCTCGAAGGAAAATGCTCAAGTACTGGAAAAAGGAACACATACGATGCCATAACTTTTTGCACACTTAGTTTTTTTATCCGAGCACAAGCCACGACTATCTTGAGCCCATGCATCTAATTTTCATGCAAAACAAGGGCTTAGAAATTGCTCAGTGTCTGAAAAAAAAAATGAAGAGTTGAGGTTTTGTTGGGCAATGCTCAAGTGTTTAGACATGGGTCAATACTTGACATACTCTAACTTCCCAACCACTTGGATTTTAGATCTAAGCACAAGCCATGATGCTCTTGGGCCATACACTAGCTATGTATGCAAAAGGAAAGAGTTTTGGTAAACAAAGCACCTTAATGAAAAAACAGGTTGTTGTTTAGTGGGGTACCACTCAAGAACTTGGACATGCGACAACGCTTGAGATACCATAACTTCCCACACACCTGGGTTTTGCATCTGAGCACAAGCCAGCATGCTCTTGAGCCCATACACTAACCATGCATGAAAATAGAAAGATGTTTGAGCATGCTCAATAGCAAGATAACCAAGTTGAGGTCTCGAAGGAAAATGCTCAAGTACTGGAAAAGGAAACACATACGATGCCATAACTTTTTGCACACTTAGTTTTTTTATCCGAGCACAAGCCACGACTATCTTGAGCCCATGCACTAATTTTCATGCAAAACAAGGGCTTAGAAATTGCTCAGTGTCTGAAAAAAAAAATGAAGAGTTGAGGTTTTGTTGGGCAATGCTCAAGTGTTTAGACATGGGTCAATACTTGACATACTCTAACTTCCCAACCACTTGGATTTTAGATCTAAGCACAAGCCATGATGCTCTTGGGCCATACACTAGCTATGTATGCAAAAGGAAAGAGTTTTGGTAAACAAAGCACCTTAATGAAAAAACAGGTTGTTGTTTAGTGGGGTACCACTCAAGAACTTGGAATGCGACAACGCTTGAGATACCATAACTTCCCACACACCTGGGTTTTGCATCTGAGCACAAGCCAGCATGCTCTTGAGCCCATACACTAACCATGCATGAAAATAGAAAGATGTTTGAGCATGCTCAATAGCAAGATAACCAAGTTGAGGTCTCGAAGGAAAATGCTCAAGTACTGGAAAAGGAAACACATACGATGCCATAACTTTTTGCACACTTAGTTTTTTTATCCGAGCACAAGCCACGACTATCTTGAGCCCATGCACTAAATTTTCATGCAAAACAAGGGCTTAGAAATTGCTCAGTGTCTGAAAAAAAAAATGAAGAGTTGAGGTTTTGTTGGGCAATGCTCAAGTGTTTAGACATGGGTCAATACTTGACATACTCTAACTTCCCAACCACTTGGATTTTAGATCTAAGCACAAGCCATGATGCTCTTGGGGCCATACACTAGCTATGTATGTGAAAGGAAAGAGTTTTGGTAAACAAAGCACCTTAATGAAAAAACAGGTTGTTGTTTAGTGGGGTACCACTCAAGAACTTGGAAATGCGACAACGCTTGAGATACCATAACTTCCCACACACCTGGGTTTTGCATCTGAGCACAAGCCAGCATGCTCTTGAGCCCATACACTAACCATGCATGAAAATAGAAAGATGTTTGAGCATGCTCAATAGCAAGATAACCAAGTTGAGGTCTCGAAGGA